GTTGGGGTTATATTCATTATTTGGCTCCCATGCAGAGTACATCCAGGTTTTCTCTGAGACTGTTCAAGAGCAGTTCTGAGACAACTGACTGTCATTTACATAGCATTTTTTAAGTTTTACAAAACACTCTCATGAATTAGGTTAAATCCTCTAAAATTGCTGGTATTCGACCAACTGTAATTTCTGAAACAACAGTTTTATATGGTTTAACCTACACATTGTTTCAGTGAATTCTTGGAACAGACATGAGGCGATCTCTCATTTGACTACTAACTGAAGGCTTCCATAGATGTTAGATGATTTACAGTTGTCAGGTAGGAAATGGAGCTAGAACTTGAGCCTATCTTACAGCTCCGAAACCATTGTCATGTGAAACCTTGCTTACTAAAGTAGATGATTGGAAAGATCTCTCCCATCTCTTTCCTTCCCTGACATACACACACTCCTCTCCCTCCAACAACTGTGTTGGCTTTGCATTTTTATACTGGCCATTTTTTTTTTTTGACAGTTGCTATCAAGCTTGGGGTGTGCCATTCTTTTTTTTTCTGGTCTGAACCTTTTATTTCTTTTTTAAAAAGTATTATTTTCTGAAAACATGAATATGTGTGTTTTCATTTTACAAAACAGCTTTTTCCATTTATTTTCATAGAATATTGGTATGTTTTACAATGATGCAGAAAACAAACTTGTGCGTATACTTAATGCAAATGATCCCAAGTTGTCCACCCCGGCTAAAGACTATGCTTCAGAGCCGCACACAGCTCAAATAGTCCTTGGCATAGGAAATAAATTTCTGGTAAGTTAATGTAAATTTAAGGGATTTTTATAAATATTACATAAGAAGGCAGTAATATAGTCTGCTGTATACCTAGTAAACATGATAAAATGTAATTAAACTTGACTAGAAAATGTGGTTAATTGTATGTGGCTCCTGTTAAGTATTAGCTATCTGGAAATTGTATCTTGTTCATCAAAGCCAGAACATAACATTCTTTGGGGGCAAATTTTACAAACCGGTGCTTTCATTTTTAGCATTGCAAGTACATGTGATGGGAAATACTTTGCATCTTTTTCCTCAGAGGACTATCCTATACAACCAAGGTTGTTTCGAAGCTCAGTTTGATTTAACTCTTTAGGTCACAATATATGCAGATCAAGCCATAAGGTCTGTAATACTGGCTGATGACTAATTCTAAGTAGCTAACAGCTGCTAAGTGTATCTGTAAGAACTCAATTTTCACAATGATCCAGGGGATGAAAATTATCTCCATTTTACAGAGGAGGAAACTATGGCCTAGACAGGTTGAACAATGCTTAAAGTCACAAAACCAGAAAAGTATACCTACTAGAATCTAGGTAGTCTATGCTCTTAGAGTGGTTTAAAAATGCTTTTCCTTTTTAAACTGTTAATAGAAAAGATTAATGCATAAGTTATATCCCCCTACCTCCTTTTTTATCTTTTAGTACAGTTAGTCTTCATTCTTTCTTTTCCTGTCATTTCTATATCCTTTTATGCAAAACTATTTCTTTACAAAATAAGCACAATCATATAAATGTCTCTTGCAATCATCTGACCTATGAGTCATGAGGGGAGTGAGATTGTATGTGGTATTTGTGTGCTTTAAATATTTCAAATGAGGGGTGCCTGGGTAGCTCAGTTAAGCATCTGACGCTTGGTTTTAACTCAGGTCATGATCTCAGGGTCCTGAGATTGAGCCCCATGTCAGGTTCTACACTTTGCTTGAGATTCTCTCACCCTCTCCCCTTCCCTCCCCCCTCCCCATTCTCCTCTCTCTCTAAAATAAAGAAATGAATCTTTAAAAAAATTCTAGGGGATCCCTGGGTGGCGCAGCGGTTTGGCGCCTGCCTTTGGCCCAGGGCACGATCCTGGAGACCCGGGATCGAATCCCACGTCGGGCTCCCGGTGCGTGGAGCCTGCTTCTCCCTCTGCCTGTGTCTCTGCCTCTCTCTCTCTCTCTGTGACTATCATAAAATAAAAAAATAAAAAAAAAAATTCTAACGAAAAACTAAATTGCTGATGTTTTCTACATTAATGCATAGTTATCTTGGCTGCTTTTTGTCTTTTTATTAGATGTCTTCTCCCAATAATGAGATGAATTACCAGAGTCCTTTATCACTTTGTAAGCCAAAAGAGAAGTCTGTCCCCACACCTGGAACAACCCAAATGACTTCAAAGTCTTATTATAAAGGGGAGAAAGAGATGGATGACCCAAAAAACTGCAAAAAGAGAAGAGCCTTGGACTTTTTGAGTAGAGTGCCTTTACCTCCATCTGTCAGTCCCATTTGTACATTTGTTTCTCCAGCTGCACAGAAGGCATTTCAGCCACCACGGAGTTGCGGCACCAAATATGAAACACTGATAAAGAAGAAAGAGTTGAATTCTCCACAGATGACTCCACTTAAATTTAATGACCTTTCCCTTTTGGAAAGTGATTCAATAGCAGACGAAGAACTGGCAATGATAAACACCCAAGCCCTTTTGTTGGGTTCACCAGGAGAACATCAACTTGTGTCTGTGAGTGACTCTACCAGGACTGCTCCCACGAGTTCAAAAGATTATCTTGGACTGAAAAGGCATTCTACTGCATCCGGGGTCAGAGGACCCGAGAGCCCCCAGGCCTGCACCAGGAAGCGGGAGCCCCGTGTACAGAACACAAGTGATCTGAAAAGGACATCTCTGAGACTGCAGAGGCAACAAACACAAAAATGACAATGAATTGGTGACTGACTCAGCCTTTCCAATGTGTAGAAAACACAGCCTCAACCTGTATGTCAAGATGTGCATAATGAGACAAGAAAGGCCACATCCCAAATCTCCTGTGTGCTTGTCTATCTTAGGAAACCTGGCCTATCTCTGTACTGGTCGGTGTACTTTATTTCAGTTATGTGTCTGAAAATTGTGTATTTATTAGCTAATCAAGAAAAAAAATCTCCTTTAAACTCTGATTGGATTTGATCAAGTATATTTTACAAAGTAAACACACTTTTTCTTTAAATTGTGTCCCTAATTAAATGAAAGTAGGTTTCAAAGTACTGTTATTTTGACTCCTGTAGTTCTTTTTAGGTGGCTTGGTTTTGTTTTGTTTTTCGGAGGTAACCTACTATGAACCAGTTTTCCTTAATGAACGTGTTGGTTCTCTTATAGCTGTATCCTGATCAAAAGTCAGGAGGAGTAAGGAACAAACAGCAGTGCTCTCTCTGGACCAGTTCTTTAACCTTACGTCAGCATAAGTGCAAGAAAAATAGAATCCTCAATGTGATTCCTTTTTATGATTCTAGTGTGATTGCTGAATTATTTCAATTAAAAATTCGAATGCTTTTAAATCAGATTTCATAGTTTTTTTTTAACAAAATGATCATCTGCAGCTTAAGAAAAAATCTTTCTTTCAACTTGAAGTGATGCTACCTGCTTTATTTTTTAGCCTTATTAGAGGACTCAGCAGGTACTTCCTTTAAAACTGGTTTTCTCTGACCACCATGGCAGACACTGATAGTTCAATATAAGAGGACATCCTCATTTGTTACCTTCTTATGTTTAATAGAAAAAGAGAATGCAGTTCTAACTAGAAGTTCATAACATGGAGAAGTTCTTCAATCAGATCTTTTAATATGTCTTAAATTTATATAAAATAACATGTTTTCAAATCTAATCATAAACACATTTCAAAGCCAAGAATAAATCTATTAAGAAGCAATGTCTTTCTCTCATAACTATGATCCTTGATTTTTCTCTCCTCTAAAAAGTAGCAACATAGCAGCCCATTCTGTAGCTGTTTAACTCAAATGTTGTACCAGTCTTATTACTGTGTGATTTAAGTCTTATTCATAAAACAATTTAGTCCTCACACCCCAGCCATTTTCCAAGTGACCCACTCTAGAATCTCAGGTGAACAAAAAGAATTTAAGAATTTTACCTTTTTTTTACATTCCTAGAAAACCTGCATTGCTAGTACCTCCTCCATTCTTCATTGCCATTTAGATCATGTAGAGATATCATGCACACTTCTTTTTTCTGTACATTATAAATAATATAGCAAAGCTATGTAAGCAAACTATGAAGCTTAAGTCTATGTGGACACTATCTCCTAAAAAGTGACAATGATTACAGAGTCAAGAATGTACACTGCATGATAAGGGATAAAAGGTAAAAACAATTTGTGATACTCAACTATGACTTAATGAGAGTCTATCTTGAACATAAAGCCCTATACCAGCTAAATGAACGATGCAAACGTTAACAATGCAAAACACTAAAGGTTCAAAAGATCATATATGAATCAGGAAACTTGGGAATTGAGAGAAAAAAATAGATCACTTCTAGCCGGGATAAAGCTGGCAGCATTTAATCGATTGTTTTTATGCTTCCAAACTATTTCAGGAATCATATAGGGGGAAAAAGAAGACAAATACACAGGGAAACTACTCTTTTGAGCTCTTTAAAAGCTCAAGATCTAAACCTCGGGCCACTTCATAGCAGTTACTCAGACGAGGCAAACGAAAAGCAGTAGATTTCAATAGTGTCAGGTAATGAAATGTTAAAGCAATAGTGTGTCTGTTGTGCACAGATCAAATAATTTAAGCATGTAAAATACAAAAGGTTACTTTTGTCTTCACCTTTATATTTCCTGTTTATTAAAGGAGACTGATGAATACGTTTATGGTATAGAAAACTGGTTCTTAATATGGTAGACTTCTATGGGATTTAGGTAATTTTTTTACATCGTTGAACCAAAAATGTTGAGATTCAATGACAAATCCATAGAAAGCAATACCATATATAATTTTTAATAACCATAAAAGCACCATTATATAGAACACTTAAAATAATATTTCACAGAACATTAGAAAGAAGCTGTTGGCCAACAAGAAATAAAGCATACATCCTACATGGTCTTATCATGGTCTCGCACCAAATTATTCTGATTCTAACCTGTTGAGATTTAGTTTGGAATCCTAAATTCAGTACTGGTATAAGCAGGATATTCCACAGTTGTGTAGAACTTTGTCTTAAATAATGCCATATAAAACACCAACACTGCTCATCTTACAATGAGCATGACTTTTACATACCCCTATGACTTCTATCTTGGGATGCTTAATTCCTTGCACTCCCAAACATTTGGGCAGCCAACTGATTACACACATGTCTATTTATATGCATAATTTTAAAAACTGCTCAACTCTTTGTCTTAAAAATTGGTACTTTATAAAGTCAGGCTTCTTTTATTTACACTATTAGCACAACAGCCAAAGTTAATCAGGTTAAATCCTATTCATTAAAGTTGATAGTTAAAAACCAAGATGTGATTTTAAATAATGATACTGATTTTCCTCAGTAGCTTATGTAGCTGTTAAGAAAGATCCAACAGGGACACCTGGGTGGCTCAGTGGGTTGAGTGCCTGACTCTTGATTTCAGCTCAAGTCCTATCTCAGGGTCCTGAGGTGGAGCCCCACATCAGGCTCCATGCTGAGCAAGGGGCATGCTTAGGATTCTCTCTCCCATTCCTTCTACTCCTCCCCCGCACTCTCTCTCACTGTCTCTAAAAGAAATTTTTGAAAAGAAGGATCCAACAGACATTTTTAACGACACAACACCAGAATAAAGGCATAATCTCCCAAAGTGTCTGCTTTGAAGGACAATATTCCCTTAGATGTATGCTCTCCAGCATATGCATTTTAAAGGAAAATCTATCATGACAGCCACACATCTCACATTTCTGGATACACAGATTATCAAAATAGCAAAAGCACTAACATTTTTCCTGCCTTCACTTCTCCCCCACCTATCCAACTTTCCTGATGGAGATGAATTTCCTGGAAAAATAGATTACCTCAAAGAAAGTGGTACTGAAGCTTCTATATATTGAACTTAGGTGACTGCTTATGCACTTGGGTACACTCTCAGGTTTCAGTTTCCAATTTCTGGTTTCCCTAGAGAATTCCCAGCATCAGACCATGCATATAGGATCACTTTAACAAAAGCTTGTTGAAGAGGAGTATGACTTCTCAAAAACTTTCAGGTCCAACTATTTACACTGGAATTAGAGCTCTGACAAAACCTGAACAAATAAATACCAAAATTTGCAGTAAAAACTGATTTAGGAAAATTTTGAATGCCTGTTAAGATAGGCCTCTAATATCCATGGTGACAACCGCCTCTTCTGTTAAAGGATCCCTCGTTTGTGAAGCCACCAGGAGCCCTCCGGTTGGGAAACTCTGCATAGGGATTCCAGTATCGTGTGCTGTTGGAAGGTGATGCGTTATTCCTGTCCTGGTTTCTGTTCATTCTGCTTGGTTTTTCTGCATGAAGCACACTGTGAAAGGTAACATCGTGTTCATACCGCTCTTTCATTCGGTGTATTTTTTCTCTTGGGACTCCATGAATGTTTCTTCTACAGGGGAACAGATGCAAACATTTACTTAAGGCATCATATCAAAAGGAGTCACTTGTATTTTACAAGTCCTGTGTTACTACATTGAGACGCACTCCCTCGTCTCAGAATTTAACTCATACAGAAGCATAAGGTCTTAAGGAGCTTTCAGGCTCCACTCCTGTTTTTCATGGTGCCCTGAGGCTAGCAGTTTAGCGCTTCAGAAATGCTTTGTTTCTGGAAATCTCAATTTTGTGCTTCAAGATGTAAAAGAATACCATGAGATCTTTTTATTATATATATGCCTGTTAATCATGCATATATTTATAATCAATTTGTCAGTCCTAGATACTTCTAGATGCTAATTAAGATAATCTTAAATTCAAGTGGGCATGAGAATCCACTGGGGATATAGTTTGAAATGCAATTACCAGAGATTCCCACTGTGAAATGGGGCCTGTGAAATGGGATTTCAACAACCACCTCAGGCAGTCCTGATGGGGGTTGGCCACAGACCCTCTTCAGAAACACTATCTGCTTGTAACCATAGGATGAACTAGCCTTGTTCCTAAAAAATAAATTCTGATCTCACTGGTTACTTTAAATCACTGACGTTATCAAGTAACAAAGATAGTGAAAATCAGAACTCATGCACTCAATCCACAAGTTAGTATTACTTGGACATTTATTGCTTTGTAAATTAGAAGCAGCATTTAGGCCATAAATGAACCACAGACTGTTCAACATCTAAAGATCTTTAGCCTAAATGCAAAAACACCACGGACATGTGCAATCCCATGCAGAGAAAAGTGCTTTCAAATATTCATTAATGAAGAAGCATTTTAGCAGAAAGTTTAAAGGATCAACTCCAAGCCAAGGTTTAGCACTTAGCATTATATTAGAAAACTGGCCCAAAACTAACATCTTCACATTAATAATTCCAAAGTTATCAATTTCCAAGAATTACCATTTCTGGCCTGAACACTACCATGTCCATTTCCAGCCTGAAAAGATTCTTTTGTTCGGTCTGAAATACCTGAAAATAGCAGGATACATAATGAGGAGCTAGAAAAACAAAGAAGTACCTTGCTAACTCTTGAACGTTGAATTTCCAGCGAGTGTCAGGTTCTCGGAATATAACTTCATAGTTATTTTCAAGTGCCTGATTTTTCAAAAGTACATAAAACATTGAAGACATGGTATGTATGTTTGGGAATGTTTATGCTGCCATTTAACATTTACTACAAATCTTTTCTAAAATTCCTTTGTTTCACCAGTAATCAAAGGCTTTAGTTTATCTTAGCAAGTACATTTGGTTCATTTCCATACTTAACCACTCTCAGGTTATATTATAGTTCCCAATGATAAATTTTGGTCAATTTTATCTACTATGTAGGAAAATTATAAAGGTTCTTTGGGGACCTTTTTAAAAATAGATAGCTGAACTAGTTTTAAATATCTTGTTCACAAGTATGCGAAATGAATTCAATGGCTTCTCAAAGTCCCTTATAGGATTATCATAGAGTTTCTCTGTCAAATGCCCTGTCTCATTCCTCATGCCTTGGTTAGAAAGTGAGAGTGCCACAGGAACAGAATTATGAAATAAAAGTGATTTTCTCATACTCTTTACAAACTCTTCCTGCCAAAAGGAGCTTTCCCCTCTATGCAACAGTTTGACCCAATGCACTATGCTCCATTTTCCTCAAGTTTAGAAAATGATTAGTTTCCATATAAACATCCAAATATTCTTTGCATTCATAAGTTGGCTACTACTTTTTCACCTAGAATCTGAACTCTAATCATTTATTGTGTTATAAAATACAGAATGAAAAGAGCAAAGTAAAAAGATGTCCTCTCCATTCTTGAGATGAAACCTTCTACTTAGAGAAGCATTCAAATATCATAAATGGAGAATATCTAATATCTGGGTCTTATTAATAGCTGTGGATAGCTAAAAAAGACTGTACATTCCAGATAATAAAAAAAAAGTAAAACGTCCTTCCTTAAGCCACTCTCCCACTAACTCTTGAGTTGTGCCTTAGACTATTCTTGTCCCTGTTCATTTCTCTCCCAAGTGGACTCTTGGTCCATGAGCTGAAATAACCACAGTGTTGATGTTCATTCCTTCCTACATTCATCCAAAGTCCCACAGACTAGGCCTAAGTAAACCCGATAGATGCACAGTTAAAGAAAAGCACACTGGTATATAAGCTATTTTGCCCCCAAATTAAAAGGAAGGAAGCCAGAAATAGACTGCCACAAGCCCAGTTTCAGAGATATTCACTTTACAGCTAGCCAAGTGGAGATTACGTGTGACAAAATTAGACTACTCAGCTGTCTTTTTCCTGCCCCGTGTGTCTCAGAATCTTTTCTCCTGTCTATAAACCCAATAGGAAGTAAAAACGTATTACCATAAGAGATGAAATATGTCTGAAAAAAGATCAGACAAATTTCAAAATTTAAAATATGCACATTGTTTTATTCATTTTGCTGTTCTTTCCTGTTCTAAGAGAGCTGAGTTATTATCTTTGTGTGTATATTTATATTTATATTCTAGTACCCTAATAGAGTTAGTGTTAATCCTTAATCTGGTTTTAACACCACCCCACCCCCAGAAAAAAGATTGCCCCAAAACTCTCCCCCAGCAACACTCCAGTACTGAAATCCCTGGCTTGCCAAAGACAAAACTGTCCTACTATCATCTACAATTCAGCTAGTATCATCGTCCAGCCCAGCATTTCTCTGCATGTTTCAGATCGTGCTCCTGTGCACGTATGGCTCCCCTTGGGAAAACAATCAAGACAGGAGAACTATCAAGAATTTGGACCAAGGACTATTGAAAAATGTACCCTTAGGTGATATGATGAGCATCTCAGCAAATTTCAGCCATTGAACAACAGAGAAACACTAAAATAAAACCTCTTTACCTGCTCCCTGAGAGAACTAGGATTTAATAAAGATGAGATCATGGCAGATCAGAAGAAGAGGAAAAAACAAAGGTTTCAACTTTCTCACAAAATGTCCATAACTGAAAATTCAGAATGATGCTTCTTCCTACCATGACTGCATAGGGCTTCATTTCCCAGGCGTGGAGGTTGGTATTATCAATAATAATGGGGGATATGCCATTCCTCATTGCTTTTCTGGCTGCAACACAATGTTATATAACAGTGAACAACATGCAACAATCAGAAGGGTGAGCATCCTCCGTATTTATTTTCTATTACAAAATGTCCTCATTATATAACTCAAGTGCCACATATTTCAGAACCCATTATCAATAATTTTCTTTTTCCTGAAATCTAAGGAGGTTATGCTCTGACATTCTGTTTCGGGGAGAAATGGCAGAACTTTCTATTACACTCCTAGAAAATGTATTCATTCTGCAGCAGCTACGATCTATGTGCACAATAGATTTCCCGGGAATTTTGAAAGGAATTTGTCACCTCTTTTCTGGTTCCATTCATGTGCTTCCTCCAGGAAGTCAGGATTGAACTCATAGGCACCGTCTTCCCTGAAGAAAAAATCATCCGTGCTGAAAATCAGGGCCCTGGGAAAGTCGTGTTGCAATTGTCTAGAAAGTGGGGAAATAAGAGATTGCTTTATGACTATGCACAGCCATTATAGAAATTATTTCCTACCGTCTCTAACATTTAGTGGTTTATAATAGGATAGCACGTGTTGTTGAAATTCAATTTAAGGAGAGCAATTCTTATCATCTCTAGAAGGTCCTTTGTAGGAGGCAGGAGAGAACTGAGAGGAGCTGCATGTGTGGCCCAACTCCTAAAACTCAAAAGTGTGGTCACCACATTGACTTCTGCAGCACCAAGACTGACTCCAGACGAAATTCTGGAGGCTGAGGAGGTGTGGTGACAGCCTCCTCCTAGGCACCGGGGCCTCACTGCTGTTACACAGTGGAGCACCAGTGCCTCCCCAGACTTGCCCATAGTGCCGTGCCCCCCCCCCCACGTTGTAGCCCTTCCCTTCCCCCCACTGCCTTTCACCTATCCTGGTCCCATCTCTGGAGCTCTGGGTTCTGTAGAACCCATCTGAGAAACTAGTTCTTGCTGAGGTATGAAATGTGGATAAAAGTGCTGTGTGTGTGTGTGTGTGTGTGTGTGTGTGTGTGTGTGCCACCCTATCCAGGTAACATATTTACATGTTAAATGTAACCTAAACCAAATGAAAAAAGCACACCAGGAGAAAGAAAGAGGTAGAGCCAACATTCCCCATGCCTTTGTAAACCTCTATCACACTCTTAAAACAGGAAATGTCACAGAAAAAAGGAAAACCGTCACGGAGTGCCCCCTTTAAAACAAAACAAAACAAAAAGCATATTAAACTCTGCACAAAATAACTTCAAAGGGAAGATGTTTCCACTTGAAATCCTTATTCAGACAATTTGTGGGGAGAAGATGGATATTACGGTAGGTACCTAGTTAGGGTAAATCTCTGAGCCTCCTCTCCTCATCTGTAAAAATAAAGGATGATTTCACCTATCTTGCTAGGTTATGACACTGATCTAATAACATAGGGGAACCCGGAATGCAGCACCAAAACATTCAATAGGCAAGCAGAATATATGACCAAATGGATATGCTCAGAATAAAAGGGGGGGGGGAGAAAAAAAGGAAAAAGGTTGGAGAATGACAGGAAATGTAAAGAGAAAAGCAGAGCTGTTCAACTGTTTTTGTTTGTCCTTCTCCGTGCGAAAAGCTGTCTTTAATCAGGAAAGAGCAGAATGAGCATAAGGCACCAGAGCCCAGATCATAAAAAAGCTCCCAGATTGCTCTGAAAGGTTTGGGTTTAATTCTTGACTCTTCTCTACCCAGTCATGTGACCTATCTCCCTAAGCTGTTTCCCTGACTGAAAAACACAGATAATCATCACTATCTATGAAACAGAGCTTCTAGTAAGGCTCGGATGAGATAAGATCTGGGAAAACATTTTGCAAATGGTGAGGCACTTTTATGAGTGTAAAGTACTATTATTGTATTAATAAATATAGCACATGATATCAAATTTGCCAAACTGTTTCTATGCCATAGTAGTAAAATACACTGGAGTGTGTATGTAATCTTGAAATTACTGCAAGTGGTTTAGTATGGCAGCGAATGAAAGATGAAGAAACAAAATAAAGCAGATGCCTCGATTTTCAAGAATGAGTGAGCACATTCCAGAAACAGTAAACAAACATCTCTGTCAAAATTCCTCAGAAGGCTTGATAGCATTTAAAAACAAAGCAGCATAATAGCTGATGGGCTGAGCTGTTAAACAGGGAAATTCAATGGACATAATCTTACATCTTGACTTAAACAGGAATCTGATGGCCTCTCTTGCTTGATAGCCTCATGGAAAAATGTAGATGAGAAGATAATGCATTTTAATGCCCAGAGAATATTAGATAATTATCCAATTCATTACACATTTACTGAGCATTTAATATATTGCCAAGCACTGGGTGAAGTGTTAAGGTACAAAAATAAAATAGCTGCTTTCACGGAATTTGCAGCTTAGCCAAAGAACCAGACACAGCTGACATAGCACCCACTCAAAAGAGCTGTGCAGGGGGATCCCTGGGTGGCTCAGCAGTTTAGCGCCTGCCTTCGGCCCAGGGCGTGATCCTGGGGACCCGGAATCCAGTCCCACATCGGGCTCCTTGCAGGGAGCCTGCTTCTCCCTCTGCCTGTGTCTCTGCCTCTCTCTGTGTGTCTCTCATGAATAAATGAATAAAATCTTTAAAACAAATACAGAACTGTGCAGATGAAGTTTGAAAAAACTTGGGGTCGAGAGCAAACTCTGACAAGGAAGCAGTATAAAGACAACATTTGACTCCAATCCTGAGACCGGAGAGAATTCTGCCACTGAGGGAGGGGGTTCAAAGCCCCAGAGGTAAAGCTAACACGTTAGGACTTGTTAAAGAGGAAGGAGCTCTAGGGGAAAACAAGAACAGGTTAAAAGTGGCAGATCACATTTGATGTGGTTTTCCATTCTGAGTGCTGCACAACTGGAAGAGAGATTTAGCAAGCTGGACTATGTCCAGAGAAGAGTGACCAGGTCAATGTAAGGTCTGAAAACCATGGAAACCAAGTCCAATGAGAAGAGGTCATCAAAGGGATGCGGTGTGTTTAAAGTGGGAACAGATGACAGAAGACATTGATGGTCGCTCTCCCATACCAGGAAGTCCACTGCACGGAAAGATAATGAACTGATTTCACGGAGCAGCAGTTTGGGTTGGGCTCATCGGGGCAGTGCTGCCCATCTTGCCCGGGACCGTTCCTGCAGCCACAGTCATCTGACGAGTGAGGGGCTGAATGGTCTCCGCAGGCCTCATTCATTCCCGCGGCTGCGGGCGCGGTTGGCTGGCTCTTAGTCCACATGGTCTCGCATCCTCAGGGAGGCTAACCCATGCAGTGCCTGGGTGGCTAAACTGGGAGGCTAACCTGCAGTGCCTCAGAGGGCAAGAGTACAAACTGCTAGGCCTCTACCACATTCTACTGGTCAAAGCAAGTGGCTGTGCCAGCCCCCAGTGTAAGGATAGGAAAATAAACACAGGAGAGGTGGCAAGGAAATGTGGCCACTTAGCACTCTACCACGGATACAGGAAGTGACACAAAAGAATAAAGGAGATTTGATGAAATAAATCTGCCTAGTTTCCATATATATGTCTTTGATCTAACTTTAAAGATACTCAAACCTGAAAGCCCAAATCATCGGTCCAAACTTTAACCTCGAAGGTAAACAACTATTATGATGACGCCTTAGAAAAAAATCTAAAGGCAGCACTAAAGGGTGCCTGGAGGGTGCATTGGGTTAAGTGACCGACTCTTGATTTCAGCTCAAGTCAGGATCTCAGGGTCGAGGGATCAGGCTCAGCAGGGAATCAGCTTGAGATTCTCCCTCCCTCTCCCTCCACACGCCCCCAGCTCTCTGTCTCCAATAAATAGTAGTGCTGCTCAAAGGCAGCACTAAATGTGTATTTTATATTTGTGAATATTTTACAGTGTTTAAATCACTTTTATCAATGTTATCTAGTCTAGATAATGAAAGTTGCATTCAGAGGTTAAATAATAGTGTATAACTTATTTTCCTTATATATTATTTCCACATTTCTAAGTTATACACTACATATATATATACATACACACACACACACACACACACATACTTATAATTTCCTTTGTATGCACTAAGTTAAGCAAAGTTATAGATATTGGTTCTAAGACTTTCTTCTTTTTGGTCCCAGATTTGATGTCTCTTCTAAATCTGATTTCATTTGTTTTCCTATTAAGCCTACCATTCATGGGTTTTGTTGTGGTCTTTTACCATTTTCAGAGTTGAATTTTTCTTCTCATAAACATAGCCTTCTCTGCTCTTGTTTTCCTCTTTATGGTTTATATTATCTATTGGAAGTTAATATTCCTACTCTCTAACGTTTCCTTTATTTTTAAGATGTTATTTGAGAGACAGAAAGAGAGAGTACAAGCGGGGGGGAGGAAGAAGCAGGCTCCCCACTAAGCAGGGAGCCCACCATGGGGCTTGATCTCAGTACCCTGGGGATCGTGACCAGAGCTGAAGGCAGATGCTTAACTGACTGAGCTACCTGGGGAGGCCCTTAATGTTTCCTTTTAAAAAGCTTTACAAAAAATAATAATAATAATAATAATAATATATAATCTTTACGACATGAGTATCCAAAATACGTTTTATTTCAATTCTATTTCCTTTTAGAAAACAAAGCACACATATACCCCCCCCCAAAGAAAGTACTGCCCTCCTTGATAGTAAAAATTTGCCTTAGAATAAAAGTTAAATTGTTCAGGACCACCATGGGGCTAGACCACCTGCTTATCGTTTCCTAAGAGATACCTGACTATAGCCTAACTGGTCCTCCTAACACGCAGACAAAAATGTGAGTGTTTTTGTCTTTACAGCTCTCATGGAAATTAGGGAGGCTAGGGAGAGTCAGAGGTTTGTCTGTATGATCTTCCTGAATCATCCCTTTTAAAAACTTGTTTTATCTTCAGTTGAATGTTAAATTATCACTAGCAGGTACAGTAGCATCTGGAATCTGCAGCACAATAAAAGCTCTCCTAGCTACACAGAGAACCGATTAAACAAACAAATCTTGAGATTCTCAAACAGGTGGAAGTAATAAATACCATTCCATCAGCTTCAGAAGTGATGAGGACAATGCATCAGCTCTGGCTTTCTTTATGGTGGTTAAGAGCCTCATGCATTGGGGAAATTGAGAGGATGAAAATAAGAGAAAAGAAAAAAATAGACAATTATTTCCACGTAACCATCACTTCCACAGCTCCCCCCCCCCCAATTCATTTAAAATCACTGCTGTGAGAGAAATTCAGGTACTAATCTTGATTTCACAATTTACCACTCTTCTGTGTAGTTCTTTATTTAATAACAAATACCCATGGAAACATATTTAGAGGGGCACCTGGGTGGCTCAGTGGTTGAGCATCTGCCTTTGGCTCAGGTTGTGATCCCGGGGTCCTGGGATCAAGTTCCGCGTGAGGCTCCCACAAGGAGCCTGCTTCTCCCTCTGCCTGTGTCTCT